CCCAGGGATTGGAAGGGGCAGTCATAAAATGCTGTAAGGGTTGCTGGAAGTGACTTTCAGTCCTGATGTATGATTTAAGCTGTTTCCGTAACCACCCTGTCTGTATGGAGTCTATATATAACAGACGCGATGATAAATAAATGTAGAGCTGCTTGTGTAATGGGATCTGGTGGGGGAAAACGAAATATTCTGAAAAAATCATAGCAATATTTCTCTCTCGACCACAAATCCTGCATGATCTGAATTTGAGTCGAACCTAGGTCACCGCGTTGGCAACCCGGCGATTAACCGCTTGAGCATGCCTGTGATTTGATGTTTCACAATGAGAAAGATGTCCCACAATAAATATGAGCTAGCAGAGTGTGAAAACAAATAGTCCAAGGACCGTGAAAGTTTGTTATGTAACACTGAAACTTGTTATAAAAGTAACCTGTAGAGTCCCCTGCTTCTTTCAGTGCTGGAATGAAGCTCGTGAGAGAGGGTTTCCTATGGTAGTTTACATGAATCATTTACTGCTTCCATTTTGCACGGGGGTCCATATCTGGGGAGTTCAGTTCTCTCACTTTACTTCTGTTATGCGCCAATGCCTCAAATTCATTAACAACCAATTGCATACCTGTCATGAATACCTGTTACATGTGTGACGCTATATATCGGAACTTAGACCCAGTTACTTGAACGTGAATTAAATGGTTCGTTTACCATATTGTAAATACACATTTATATTCTATAACCTGAAATGAGTGGGATAACAAAATTGAAAGAAAAAAAAAACAAACAGAAAATGTTTAATCTGCGCATGAAGAAGAGATAGGACCAATTGACCTGAATCCCTAAAGTAAAATTCCACGCCCATATTACAGAAACCATTCTATGTCCAAATACATCGCTTCTATTTAAATCCTTACCAAACACATCCCCATCCCCTCCGCCTACTTAAGGCAACTAGGGCAACTCTCGGTCCCTTGTCTCGCCTTCCACAGCAAAAGTATATCAAGTCTCCGTCTCTTGTATTGCTTTTCCCAGGAAACTATATCACTTTCGTCAAATGGTGGCATGTAAGCAGAGTATTTGCATCTTTTTGTGGGGTTGAACAACTCTGAGTGGCAGGTTCCCCAACGACTATGCATCACAGCATCGGACAGAGTGGGCTCAGTTAACTCAAGCCACCGGTCAGTATCTACTCTCACCCCAGGACAGCCCTCATAGAGTGAGGACAATTTTGGGTCTTCCAGCAAGACTGTTGTTTTACAGCGTTCAGAAAGCAAGGCAACAATTTCAGGTGGTATATGCCCTCCTACCGCTCCTAATGACACTTCTTTCAAGTTGGGCATTTGAAAGAGAACGTGTTCCTTACTAGCATAAAAACTGCTGCTTGCAATGATTTCAAGTGTCTTCAGATGGTGACATCGTGATATCAGGGTTTCTGCTCTGTACTCAGAACCACACGTGATAAGGGTGAGATGCTCTAGAGAGGTGTTATGAAAACTGAGATCAATTGGTAAGTCACATGTTCTCAGGAAAAGTTTATTGAGTTTTGGAAAATTCTTCTGCATTTTTGAAAGTATCATGTTATCTCCGGTGATTTGTAGTTCTTGCAAATGTGGGAAACATTTTGAGAGATGTTTAAGCAAAGAATATAGACTACAATGGTCAATACGCAATATCTTCAAATTGTGAAAGCAGCCAGAAACCCGGGCTGAGTTCTCGTGCTTAACAAAGGCAGATCTCAGCTCCTGGATGTTTGGAATCAGTTGGACCAGTGTGTCCAGGTGACAGGGGTCTATGTCAGTACAACCATACAGCTCCAGTTGGCAAGGCTTGTTTTCGTATAAGTGACTCAGAATATTTCTTTGAGCTTCACGTTTAATTTTCGTCCTTTTCAAGTTTAGAATCTTTAGATGTGTAAACTTCTTTATGTATTCGACGCTGGCGTCGGTAACTCTGTAAGAGCCATTGATGTCCAAAGTTTTCAGCTGAGAGCATGTCTCACTCAAGCCCTGCAGCATTTTATCGCTGCATTCAAACTCAAAAGTTAAATGCTCTAAACGAGACAGGCACCTGCCTGTCCTCACGTGATCTACATTCATAAACAAGCCGTTATACTTGTAGGACAAAATGGGACTCTTATTATTAGAGTCCTCAGCCACTTTATGGGAACTGAATTTGAGCGTTCGGAGGTTTGGAACACATTGCAACTCACAAATCACATAGTCTGCAATGTGTTTCCAATTGAACGAGAGGTCAAGTGTTTCGACACAAGGATGCAAAATGGCAGCAGCAAAGTTTCGCAACACTGTTAGGTGCCCCTCTGGAATTTCTGTATATTCCATGAGTTGCGTGTGCATATCATCCACGTGTCTGAGAATCTCTGATGTCACATAATCAGCAAAGCAGGGAGGGATGTCGGTCTGTAGCACCTGTTTCAGCCCGCAGCAAATTGCCGTCACTTCGGCTTCGCTGGCACTGGAGATATGTTGCGCGTGTTTCCTTCTCGTGGGGACAGGGAATCTGTCACGCTGGCTGACGTCCACTTCCCCGTCTGATGCTCGATGTGCAAGCTTAACAAGGCGAAGACACATTTGCGACATGTAGGTGCATATTGCTTGGACTGCTAGTGCCTCCAGGTTAAGTGGTTCCATGTTCTGTGAACACATGAGTATGTTTACAGACTTATTGCACTAGATGTTGGTTGGAGATGGTTTGCTTGGACAACTAAAAGGCAAGAGACGATTCGAGTAGGTAGACATTGACGTAGATGGGAGAGTAATATTAACATGATTTTATAGAATTGGAATTGCAACTTACATGCTGGACTAATATGGGTCAGGACGGGTTTCAGTGGTGGGTTTTCATGTAAACACTAAAGAAAAGTTGAGTTCCATAAAAAGTTCGAAATTTCAGGAAGAGCTTAGATACCACTGGCTATTCCTCATATTAAGGATTAGGAATAAAAAAATAATTCTACGAGGCAAGAAGGTCTAGGAAGATTTAACCGTTTACATTCATTTTACTGTAACTCCAGTGTCCGGTACATACAGAAAACATCCTTATATATGCTTCCACTTTATGTGGGTCCTTTCTCACCATGGCATGGCCCGTCCTCACATTATGGATGGAGGGTAGCTGTGAATGTATTGACTAAGCAGTCGCTGACAGCCGAAACGGGGTGGCCCTACAGCTTAGCGGCTGGGCGTGGAGTTAACAACTCCTGACGTAAAAAATAATCTTGCCACGAAAGATCACAAAAACCTTGGACCTGGACAGACTCGTTGAATAAGCGAAAGAAAGTGGATTTGACACTTGAAATGTTAGAAGTATGTATAGGGCAGGTTCGCTCAGGGCAGTGGCAGAAAAATCTCAAAATATAAGTTAGATTTAGTGGGAGTGCAGGAGATCAGATGGGATGGAGGTGGCACTGAACCAGCAGATGATTATACATTTTTCTATAGAAACGGGAATGAGAACCGTGAATTAGGTACAGGTTTATTTCGTACATAAGAGAATGGTATCAGCAGTTAAGAGGGTAGAATTCGTTAGTGATAGGATATCATATAAAATGCTAAAAGGTCGTTTTGTTGATGTCATTGGTATGAATGTTCACGCCCCAACAGAATATAAAATTGACGACATGAAGAACAGGTTCTACGAAGAACTGGAACATGTATTTGATAAATTCCCGAAGTAACCTATGATAATTGTATAAGAGATTTCAGTGCCAAAGTTGGGAGAGAAGACATTTTCAAACAAACATTTGGGAATGAGAGTTTGCACGAAATTAGTAATGATAATGGAGTTAGAGTAGTAAATTTTACCATATCCAAAAAACTTACTGTATAGGATCACATCGTAACATCCATAAATTTAATTGGACATCTCATGATGGGAAAATACACAATCAAATAGACCATATTTTGATAGGAGATGGCACTCAAGTATACTTGATGTCTGATCAGTCAGGGCAGCAGATTGTGATACTGACCACTACCTGATGGTGGCAAAGGTTATGGAAAGACTGAGCAGATTGTGATACTCACCATACTGACCACTACCTGGTTGTGGCAAAGGTTAGGGAAAGACTTGCAGTGAGCAAACAAACAGCACACAGAGTTCATATGGAGAGGTTCAATCTCAAGAAATTAAATGAGGTAGAGGGTAAAGAGCAGTTTCGTTTTGAAATCTCAAATAGGTTCGCGGCTTTGGAAAACTTGGACACTGAGGTGGATATTAGAAAAACTTGGGAAACTATTAGAGAGAATATAAAAATGTCTGCCAAAAACAGTCTAGGTTATTATGAACTGAAGAAGCATAAGCCATGGTTCGATGAAGGATGCTTAAAATTATGGGTTCAAAGAAAGCAGGCCAAGTTGCAGTGGTTACAGGATCCAAGCGAGTTAAATGGGGATAATCTGAACAACATAAGACGCGAAACCAGCAGGCATTTCAGGAACAAAAAAGGGAATATCTGAAAGACAAAATTGATGAGCTTGTGACGAACAATAAGAACAAAGACATAAGAGACCTGTATAGAGGAATAAATGACTTCAACAAGGGATACCAATATGGAAGTAACTTAGTGAAGGATGACAATGGTGATCTGCTTGGAGATTCACACAACATTTTGAATAGGAGGAGGAACTACTTCTGTCAGTTATTGAATGTACATATGGTCAGTGATGTTAGGCAGGTAGAAACACATACAGCTGAGCCGTTAGTACCTGAACTTAGTCCTCTTGAGGGTGAAATTGTTTTTGCAAAGTTGAAAAACGCCAGGTAGTGATCAAATTCTGGCAGAACTGATTCAAGTTGGAGGTGAAACGTTACGGTCTGAGATTCGTAACTGCGTGATTTTAGACCGCAAGCGAACTATACCGACCGAGCGACCGCCGCTTCTCGGCGAAAGTAGTGCCAATTTTAGCGGTTAGAGGTGTCGCGAGGTCGGAGCAACGAATTTCCACGGCAGTTAATCTCGGTTCTCTAGATCTGAGCCGCCATTTCCTTGAAATAGATCATCAATTATCATCACGAGGCTGAGTGCATCCCGTTCCAGACTCACTACTTCTCAGAACAAATCTGGTAGCGCCGGAAATCGAACCCGGACCTCATGATATGTAGCCAGGAATTCTTACCAATAGACCACAGAGGCGTTGATTCAGAAGCACATTAATGTAATTTGGAATAAGGAACAATTGCCTGATCAGTGGAAGGAGTGTACTATTGTACCAGTTCACAAATAGGGTGATAAAACTGACTGTAGTAATTATCGGGGGATATCAATTCTATCAACTTCATACAAAATTTCATCCAATATTCTTCTCTCAAGGTTAAAATCAATATATATATATATATAGATAAAATGATTGGGGATCATCAGTTTGGATTTCGACATAACGGATGAACTACTAACAGATCATTTGCATTCGTCAGGTACTGGAGAAAAATGGGAATATTATGAGACAGTACATCAGCTATTCGTAGACTTCAAGAAAGTCTGTGATTCAGTTAGGAGGAAAGTATTGTACAATATGGGCCACGCCATAGCTAAAGCGGTAAGTCGCTGGTTTCCCACCGCGGCGACTCCTGTTCGATCCCGGGTCTGGTCAGGTGTGATTTTTGGGGGAGAAAGTAACGCTGGGGCAGGTTTTCTCAGAGTACTTCGGTTTCCCCTGCCATCTTCATTCCACCAATTGCTCCACAATCACCCTCACCTATCGTCTGGGGCTGGTACAATAGGCCAGCATTAAAGAAATTGTACAATATTCTGGTAGAGTTTGGGATACCCATGAAACTAGTTAGGCTGGTTAAAATACGTTTAAATGAAAGGTCTAGTAAAGTCCGAATGGTTTAAAACAAGGACATGCTTTATGGCAACTCCTTTTCAACTTTGCCTTACACTATGCCATTGGGAACATTAGGAACGACGATAACAAATCAAAACCTGATTCAGGAGGAAATTCAGAGGCGATTGAGCTCGGGTAATGCTTGCTCAGTCCGGAATCATCCGTCTTCCCGTCTGCTGTCTAAAATGTAAAAATTAGAATATACAAAACTACAATTTTGCCTGTGGTTCTGTATGGGTGTGAAGCTTGGTCTCTGACATTAAGGGAGGAACATAGACTGCGGGTGTTTGAGAACAGGGTGTTGAGGGTATTTAGATCGAAGAGGGATGAAGTGACAGGAGGTTGGAGAAAACTGCATAATGAGGAGCTTCATAACTTGTACTCTTCGGCAAGCATAATTAGAATGATCAAGTCAAGGACGAGATGGATAGGGCATGTAGCACGAATGGAGAAGAAAAATGCATATAGGATATTGGTGTGAAAGCCAGAAGGAAAGAGACCACTAGGAAGTCCTAGATGTAGGTGGGAGGGTAATATTGAAATGGATCTTACAGATATCGGATGGGGTGTTATGCATTGGATTGATCTGGCTCAGAATAGAGACCAGTGAGGGCTCTTGTGAACACGATTTCTGTAAAATTCTGGAAAATTCCTAAGTAGCTGCAGAATTGGTGGCTCCTCAAGAAGGGCTCATCTCCATGAGTGAATGAAGGTTGTGGGCTAAAAGTGAAACAAGTGAACTGCAAAATGTGCAGTGTATATTGTTAACAGGTGTTGTGCAAACTGGCGGTTTCAGATTACCATGTAATCTGTTGTGCGTGAGAATAAAGTTGGGATATGACTTACTTACTTACTTACTTACTCATGGAACTGAGCCCTTCTGGAGGAGCCGCCAATTCTGCACCTACTCAGTAAAGTTGGGATATTAACGTAACAAAAATTCACGTCTCTGTATACAACAGAATTTGTAACGTCGGTGTTTGGGACTTGGGAACACAGTGCGCCAAGAAATTCCTGAATTTTATGTAGGGCCTGAAAAACTGCTCCGATTCTTGAATACATTGAGTAAAATGAATATGTTTTTGGAACTGTGTGTACTGGGATACAACTCCCGTTATGCTACGCTATGCTTCTCAACTCCAAGTGGCGGATAGTGATGTGGCTACTGCCCTTTGTTGGACCTTGGCCGCTTTTTCAGTTTCTTAATCCTTTTGCATAGGTGGTTGGTCTCCTTTACAGAGGGGGTGGGAGAGAGGAGTCAACCCGGGAAGATACCACTGTTGAGACAGTGAAGACAGTTCATGCCTTAAGGGACCCATACACGTAAGAGTCTGGCTCGGCGAGCTTGACTCGGGAGTCGGGCTCGGATTAATTTCACCACAAACGGATGGGCTGACTCCTAACTTTGCGACCCACACACGGACGAGTTTAGCTCACTGGAACCTGAGCAGAGTCGGCCTCGCGAGCCAGACTCGTATGTGTATGGGCCCCTTTAGACCGTGCGGCCATTGTGATCGGCAGAGATAGTTTTAACCGTCCTTAATTAATTGGCCACTAAATACATAAGACGTATGGGGGAGTGGCGGTATGACTCCACCATTCGTAACATCGGAATTACACGTAGGTGAGTAGTCAGCTTCTCGCCCCCGTCGCTTTGCCCCTAGTACTATTTATGTAGGACGTCTGTTGGAAGACAGCGCTTGTCTGAACTTTTTGGGGACGACAAAAAATTACTTGCCCCTGCCTAGAATCGAACCTCAACTCCTCTGACTTTCAACCTGTAGTCTAGTCTGTACACGGCTCACTATTTCGCATCCGGGCGGGGTGGGGGTAGCGGTGGCGTCAGTGGGAAGTTACTTCGCGCTACTCGCAGGGTACAGTGGAAAACAACGAGTCGCCATACTGCCTGTCTCGTCATATATATAGCGCCTACTCTGCATTCGGGTAACGTTTGCTTCCCTTCGGCTACTGCCTAACAGCGTAAAAATTGGAATATACGAATATTTGTACGGGTGTCTGACATTAAGGGAAGAAAATAGACTGAGGGTGCTTGAGAACAGGGTGTTGAGAATATATGGACCGAAAAGGGACGAAGTGACAAGAGGTTGGAGAAAAGTGCATAATGAGGGGCTTCATAACTTGTACTCATCGCAAAATATAATTAGAATGTCAAGTCAAGGAGGATGAGATGGGCAGTGTATGTAGCACGTATGGGGCGAAGAGGTATGTATACAGGATATTGGTCGGAAAGCCGGAAGGATAGAGACCACTAGGAAGTCCTAGACGTAGGTGGGAGGATAATATTGAAATGGCTCTTACAGATATCGGATGGGGTGGTATTGACTGGATTGATCTGGCTCAGGTTAGCGACCAGTAGCAGTCTCTTGTGAACGGGGCAATGAAACTTTTTGTTCCACCAAAGCTTGGGGAATCATTGTTTTGCCGATCGACTCGCGGCTTCGAAAGAGGGACGGAGCTTGCCCGTACCCACAAACGGTGGTTCATATGCTTGAGCCCACTTGGCCTCGTAAAGGGACATGCTCTGGCGAGACTCCGGGAAAATCTTGAAAATGAGGAACAGTCGCGACAAACACAAACTGTTGCAAGTAGCGGAGAAGTGAAGTACACAGGAAGTTCTGTGATGCGACATGTGCCGCCACACGGTGTCACACACGATCTGTAAATTCCCTTGAGAGGCCATGAACTTGTTTCCAATGTAATCCCGAAACGTCCGTTATACTGAGGCTTCATTGCCTGAAGCTCATACTACGGAGACTAGTACACAATATTTTGTAAACCTGGACCTGGTGTCCACGTCTTGTTGTGTCCGGAGAATCACGGATCACATATTGCTAACCATGGCTAGTCCCATTGGGTCCGGGGTGGGGGTGAACAAACAAAATAGACTCGTGACAGTGGAAAATTCCACTCACGGTTGCACCTTGCTCCGTACCAGACGTGTTGGAAACTCAACTGTATTCCTGAATGTGATGATTATGAAGTTCTGTGATGTGCACAGGGTGTGACTTCATTCACATCTCGCCAAGATATAGGCAAGGGGTGATGTTGTGTGCAGGCTCCATGTGAGTCTGTTCATCGAAGCGAGACTCCGAAATTCAGCTACGGTGCTCTGGTCTGGCCTTCATGACCAATGTCGAAATTTTGGGTTCATATGTTATTAAGGGATCGCTGTATCATTTGGCTGTCCACGTGTGTGGTCGAGTGGTCAGCGTTCCTGACTACAGATTTTTTTTCTGAGAAGTAGTGGGTCTGGAAGGGGGTCCACTCAACCTCGTGATGATAACTGAGGTGTTTCAAGGAAATAGCGAGTCTGGTCTAGAAAACCGAAATTAACGGTCGAGGGGATTCGTTATGCTGACCACGCGACACCCTCTATCCGCCAAAATTTGGCACTAAACTTCTTCGAAAAGCGGCGGTCGCTCGGTCGGTATAGTTCGCTTGCGGACTAAAATGACAAGAGTTTGTATAATTTGGCTGAATTATATTCGTAAATTTTCACACTTCAGAGGCACTCACCTTGTTCCTGAATATTGACTGTAGGGATTCGGGATTTGAACGAGATTAGGCGATTTTACAAGGTAACAGCCATATTAGACGGACATATTGGAACTGGGGCAGGGAAACCGAGTAGCTCTGTTTCCCCTCCCAATTCTCATTCCACCGACTGTTCCACATTCATCATCATACATGAAAAGGGGCTGGCACAAGGGCCAAACAGTATCCGACGTACTAAGTGAACTGCGTCACACCCCACCTAAAGGAACTTGAAAGGAATTTCACAGGGACACTGTTGCCTCCTGACGAGATTTCATTGTATACCGTTGCTATGGAAACCAGATATAACCTTACTTTGGAGAATGTCGTCTTCTGGTATAGGCGCCGTGTAGATATTGTGTTAACCACGTTTCGGAGGAACGTATCGCCTCCATCTTCAAGGTATTAATAAATCCGCGAGCGATGAAGAAGCGCAAGGAGTTGGCTGCAGCCACATCCCAGAAGACGGCATCTGCATAGTCACGGCCGTGAAAACATCAAATCTTACTTAATCTTACCTTGATCGATGGTTCCTCGATCCTGCTGAGATCGTCCAACCACTGCCGATGCTTCTCAACACAGAACTACACCAAGAACAATGAAACCACCCTCTAAAGGCTCCCCCACTATTTGCTTTCAACTTTGAAATCACCACTCATTGCTATCGCCGCAGGCCAGTGACGTCACTAGCTACTAGCCATACACAAACATTATATTTCGTCTGCATGAGAATTCTAGCGGAGGCTCATGTGGGTCCGCAGGATGCAACAGCGCGAGACGTGATTTCTCTCTGTGTCCACCCAGTTCTGCTGTGGAGCCACATGTAACTCGCCGAAATCTGAACTGAGTTAAACTCAGGCGATCTTCTCATGTCTCGAAACGCTCTGTATAATGTGCAGTTGAAAGAGTGTTGTAAAATGGCCCAAGAATTAAACTGCTTCTATGTATCAGTGAATATAAATTAAGGTGATCTAGTGGACCCAACAGGTTTCGTATTTCCACTTTGTCACTAATGACTGATGACATACCGAAACGTCGTATTCTTTGTAACGACGTAAAAGGAAAGCTGTGTTTGCTCCCCATCATGAAGACGTATGTAGGCGTGCAGGTATGGCTCCAGCATTAGTGACCTCTGCAGCAGATCGGGGTAAGTGATCAGCTTCGCGCCCTGGTCGCCTTACACAAGGGAAGAAGGCTGGGTGGCCTCATAGCCGGTCTGGGAGCTGTAGAGAAGAGAAAAATCACTTTTCTCTCTCAGGAATCAAGCCCCGGCTGCCCAGCCTGTGGCTGGAACATGAATTCTGAGAGCCAGTGTTGTGGCAGAGTTGCAGCAACGGTGGGCGGACATGACGCGACTGCGATTGGTAGAGGGAGCGGGCATTGCGTTCAGCGGTCAGCTAGAGATGTGCGCAGGCTCGCCTCATTAATTACAATCGTCGTTACTGATCGCTTTATTCAACCCTTTCATTTCGGTCACTTAAGTTTGCTACTGTAAGCCTCATTTATGCCGGGTCCTGGCTTGAATTTAAGTAGTCTAAGGGTTATATGTATATATGCATGTAGCACGAATGGGGGAGACGAGGAATGCGTATAGGATATTGATGGGAAAGCCAGAAGACACCACTGGGAAAACCAAGGCGTAGGTGGGTGGACAATATTAAAATGGATCTTAAAGAGATAGGATTGGATGGTATTGATTGGATTGATCTGGCTCAAGATAGGGCCCAGTGGAGGGCTCTTGTGAACACGGTAATGAACCTTCGGGTTCTATAAAATGCTGGAAAATTCTTGAGTAGCTGCAGAATTGGTGGCTCCTCCAGCAAGGCTCAGCTCCATGAGTAAGTAAGTAAGTAAGGGTTGTATCATTCGAAATTCATTTTAGGGTACTTTCCTATTTTGGAAAAAATTTTAGGCTTATAAGATCACCTTGCTTTCTGATTGTTTATTCCCCGCTAATTGTTGTGGCGTCCGATATCACCTTTCTCTGTGTGTGTGTGTGTGTGTTCTCCGAATGTGTGTGTTGTTATTTCATTTACATGACCATTATTTGTCTCCTTCCTATACACAAAACTTGCACTCGTGGGACTGCTGACGTCATGCATTCACGGCGGATGCCTGTTGATGACAACTCTGTCTGAAATTACTCCCCTGCCATCTCGCAAAGGAACCAACGGCATATAAAATGAATTTCCTTTCACAATGTCTCAATATGTAAACAGGTATATAGGATATGAGAAATAATAATGCACATTATGAATTTACGATATACGTGTATTTCAAATACAGCTGAGTGAATAATAGACTTGATACAGACAGAGGGAACTCACGTGGGGCCCAGTTTAGATACAAAATGGCTACACCCTCAACTTCGAAGCTTTTGATTGGTGCTAAGGCAAAAAAGCGTTCTTTTTAGTGACGCCGTTCTGATTATTTGCATGGGCAGTTTATTGTATCTCCAATATTGGACACTTCTTATTTATAGAATTTTAAATTAATTTATGAGCGTGGATTTTATAAATTGTGAAGCCAATATTGTAAGTATGTTTATAAATAATTATAATGCGTTTGTCCTCCACGAATGAATTCAGGAAACTATAAAATACATTATTTATACAAGCAAACTCTGTCTTCTAAACTTGGCTTAAAGCTGTCTATAATTGAAATTAATACTGAATACTGTCCGGCCGCGGTTTAATGATCCCTGCTCATTTCAGAATGTGATGAAGCAAACCTTAGCTTGGGTGCGAAAATGTAGCACTGTTGTCATATTTTCATTTCAACTCCGTACGTCGAAGGTTGAAGTCGCAAGCTTCCAGCCTCCACAGCACATATCAATATGTCTAGCGGAACAGCGCTCATAAATAAAACACATAGGCAATAAGACGTGATTGTCGGTCAGTGCTGTTTCAAGGCGGACACCCTTGAAGTGCCTGTCGGTCACTGCTGTTTCGAGGCTAAAAGCGTAAAGCGTCGGGGGGGGGGGTCATGAAATGGCGGCCAAGGAGTGGTTGTCACGCGACTTTCATAGGCCTACTTGCTATCGCGAGAACATAATTTATGTAGAGGAAATACTGATTGTATTGTGCTGTGCACCGACGCGCTTCAAATGTTCTCTTTTTTCATTTTTTCAACTTTTCTATAATAATATAATTTGCTAACGCAGGACTTATTGATGTGTTGTAAAATTACACAGACAATACTCGTATGTTAGCTATGGCATGAGTGTTTTGGGGGCTTGGGCGTTGTGCTTTGAAGTAACTGGAACAAGAATATCTTAAGTAAAGAAGCTTGGCCGTGGATTTTCGTGTTTCTCTCCAGTCCCTCCAATCGAATACCCCGGCCGCTTTCCTCACAACCCCCAGCCACTCAGTGTTACAATAACCTTCCCGTGTCATGCGACGTCGTGTAATTAAAACAAAAATACAACAAAAATATTACATTTTATATTTACAACATGGTTATAACCCACGCGTATGAAACAGCGTCGTTAAATAACAAGGATTTATAAATTCATTGGCCTGCCATCGAACATGTTGGTTTGGCAGTAGAACTCAGCATTTCTAGTTGTATTCTGTTCGGTTGGAATCTTGAATAGAACACCGGGTATATACACTGATGTTTCCGTGGTTCTTCTCGGTCTCTCCACAAACGTACCGGGATAATACTACAATTAGGCTACGACCTCTTCTTCCCAAACCCTCTTTTCACTTCATTCATCATTCGTTCTCTCCTTCGGGCTTTTTATCTGGATACTGACCGCACAAAATCTACTGGCTTGGCCTCATCCGTGGTGATCTTCTGTCTGCTTCTAGCAAAATTCGGTATACCCACCCCATATAAGTATGCGTGAGCTTCTCGCTGATGTATGAACACTAGAAGCGTGTTGAAAATATAAGCCAGTAACACTTTAATGATGACGTTATAGTCCACGTCACTGACCATGGCGCAGTTTAGTTCTCTTTGTAAACGACGTAAAGATGAGCGTCATCCAATAGCATCTCCCCATATAGCAGGGCTATCTTCCATAACATGAGAACTGAGACAGGCCACCTTCAGATTATCCAGAAAATGCTGAAGAAAATTCGAGCATTCTGTATTTGAGCCATAAACACGAAATGAAAGTGAAGTTAATTATATTCAAAACTGTAAGGTGATCTGAATTCATACATATAATTGACGATTGTCTTAACAATTTCTGTTTTTCGACCTTTGTTTGCAAATCCAACATTATCGGCAAGCTGTATCCAAAGGTCAGGTTCAACTTGCACCCCAGGATACTGCTGGTAGAGCGCCCTCAGCTCGGCGTCTTGTCCCCCAAACACTTTGCAAGTCATCAGATTTGTGCAGTGTTGCGTCAAGAATGCCACGGCATCTGGAGGAACGTTCTCATTCAGCGAGCCAACGCACAGATGCTGCAAACTCGCTAGCCTGTTCTTCAGCATCACCTCGTTCAGCAACATGAAGAACATTTGCTGGGTGCACAGTTGCAGTGACGTCAGATTTTGGCACTGAGACAGCAGGACTGTGGCACCTGGCGAGTCACGTGTCCGAAGGGTCAGGTGCTGCAGAGAGAAAAGTCCTGGCAAATGAGCGTTATCCATCCGCAGGTGGTCTGCCTTGATCACAAGGCTCTTGAGATTGGGACAGTTTTTGATTATGTCAGTTATATTTACAGAAGGTCCAACGAATGAAAGTTCTAACAAATGACTTCCAATGTATTCAAATACATCACTGTATAAAAATTCGCCGTAGCTGTATATATGACACACTTCAAGGTTATAAAATCTTCGGAAGTCACGAATTGATAAGTCTTCACGGAGGAGACTTGCGCTGAACTCTCTGAGGTCAGGAAACTGGTTAGATAACACACTGATTTCTGGATTCGTGAAGCTGTAAGTCCTGTAGCTGATCAAGGGTTTGGCGCTGTTCTGTGACAGTCCGGTGAGAAGACGAACTCGTCCTTCGTCTGAAATGTCTGTTTCAGTGATATCCAGCTCCTCCAGATATTTCAGTTTCATTATGTGCTGAACACTGGCATCAGTGACATTGTTCGAAAGATAAATGTCAAGGCACTTTAAGAGGCTGCAAGATTCGCAGAGTGCTCTAATAGTTTCGTCAGTGCAGTAATGATGGAACACAAACTTCTGCAATTTGGCCATTGTAGGCAGCTGTTTCTTAACAGTCAGTTCCACTGAACTTGTCTTTGCCTTCTCTATGAACTCGACATTAAGAGGCAATTTGAAGACCTTCAGGTTTGACAGGTTACTCATCTCAGTGATAACGAACTCGGCAATGTACTTCCATCTCCAGGTTATGAACAGTTCAGTGAGTTCAGGATGTAGGATCGCCTTCACGATCTCGTGCAGGATTCGTCTGCACCAAGGCTGTTCAGCAAGAGCGTGAACTTCATCAAAGCGATTGTCCAGCTGCTTGAGCAGTTCCAGCGTCACAGCGTTGACCATGTAGTATGGGACCATGTTGACGAGCACCTGTTGCAGATGTCTGCACACCCGCTGTGCGTGAAGCAGGTGTTTCGAGCTGATAGGAGACAGTCGGTAGGACACGGCGTGATGGAGCATGTCTTTCAGATGCCTCCTGATCTGTCTGGCAGGGAACAGTGAGGTGGACCCGACCGTGGTGAAGTTCGGCATGGAGGAAGAATGCGCTGACTTCACGAGCTGAACGCCTAGCTCTGACACGAATTTCCCTGCCGTCTGCAGCGACAGTTTCTCCAGACGGACTGGCGAGTTGTATGGTGGCATGGTCACATTGCTGCTGCTTACTCTGGAAGTGAACAGCAAAACAAGAGAACTCTTCCTTTCTTACAGACAAAATGTACAAGGGATTCTTTTTTCTGTACACGTCGTAGTTTATTGCGAGGCCTTCTTTACGTCAGCGTCAACACTGAAAATGTTTCCCTCTACGTTATACAGTTTAATAAAATTATTATCATTATTACCCATTAAGTTGGTTCAAGCGGTAAGGCTGTAGGTTTGCATTCGGGAGGTGCCGTGGTCGATTTTTTAATTTTACAATCTACTCAATGTACATAAATGGAGTAATTAGTAAAAGGGATGGGTGTGTGTAATACAGGGTTATTAAAAAAAAGAATGAACCGATTTCATGACGCATTGCTTCCGTTCTCAAGCATCGTCATGGAATGACTCAGTGACCATTTGAAAGAGGAGTTATCTAAGTTGTAAATGGCTGCCACAGGGGCGCTGAAGTCGCGTCGTTCTTCCGGCAACGTTCAGTTTTTCGTTTACCCTCAGGAATGGCGAGTCCTAAGCAAAAGGCGTTCTGTGTTCTCGAGTTCGCGAAAACAAATTCAGTTGTCACGGTGCAGCGTGCTTTTCGAAGGCGATTCGGCCTGTCCTAAGAACATTCGACGGTGGTTTCGACAGTTTCAAGAGAGTGGGTGTCTGTGTAAAGGAAAAAATCCAGGACGACCACGAGTCTCGGAGGAACAAGTGGCAAGAATCCGTGCTGCGTTTGAGAGGAGCCCGCGGAAGTCAACAAATCGAGCTAGCCGTGAGCTTGCGATCCCTCAATCCACTGTCTGGCGTGTGCTAACAGTACGTCTACATTTGAAACCATACAGACTGCAGCTCGTTCAGGCACTTACCAATGACGACAAAAGGAAGCGGACGGAATTTTGCGATTCGATGCTGGAGATGATGGAAGACGAAACCTTCATTTCACGTTTAATTTTTAGTGATGAAGCGACTTTTCACTTGAGCGGCACAGTCAATCGTCACAGTGCGTGTTTGAGGAACAGAGCACCCACATGAAACAGATGAGCAGGAAAGAGATTCCCCTAAGGTGAACGTCTTCTGTGCTGTGTCTCAGGACAAGGTTTATGGTCCCTTTTTCTTTGAAGGAAACACCGTTACAGGATGAAGTCGTCCAATTTAAGCTAGTGATTAAATTGGAATATTAAGAGTAAGACTTGGTGTAAGCGGCGTATAAACAACTGACACTTATATCCCTGCGGCACGGAATAGTGGTGCCATAGTGTCAGTTGTTACGTGAAACCAATATAAGTATATATATTATGAGCAAAGGATGCCGCTTATCGTTTGAAATATTACACTTCGCAGCTGCAGTCCAGCGAGGTCTCAGGAATCGTTGGGAATATCGCTGGACCAGCGGCTTCGAAGATATAATTGTAAGAGGGTATTGGAGGATTCAAAGTTGTAACACCCGCCTTCCGTTTGAATGATCGAATCAGAAGCGATGATGGAATATATCTGCGAGGGTGGGAGAATTAATGTCCCCAAACTCAAGGATATAGTCCGAGCTTGAATGGGGGACTTCTAATTTGGTGATTCCGACGGATAGACGTGTTCTGCAAATAATATATTAAACCAGTAAGCAATTGTAATGTGTGCAGTCGCATTATCATTACCCTTTGTCTCATAATCCAAGACCCGTAAATGATCCTGAGGAAGACTTTCATTGCCACCGGAACCCAACCAACATCAAAAAAATAAAGGGCGTTAGAGCGGTTGCAAGGACAAACCTATCTCGATATGCTCCAAAACTGGCGCTTCACTTCACTGCAAGCAGATTCGCATGACTTAATTTTTCAACAAGATGGAGCACCGCCCCATTGGCACCTGATGGTCCGAGCTTTTTTAAATGAAAAAGTGCCCCAGCGATGGATTGGTCGGAAGGGGGCCAAAGGCCTTGCTCTTTGTGCTTGGCCTGCGAGACCCCCAGACCTCACCGTGTGTGATTTCTTCTTGTGGGGATATGTAAGAGCTCACGTTTATGTTCCACCGCTACCCACTAACCTCGATGACCTTAAACATCGAATAATAATAAAGTAAATAAAAGTTGATTGTGAGTAGAATACTTGTGACTTGGCTGGAGTTTTGTATTACTTCCCTTTCATAAAATATTGCGTAATAAAATCTGTTCATTCTTTTTGAATAACCCTGTATTGAAGCAGGTATCACCCTTCGATGATTCTCTGGTGCTTATCTAATGAGAGCCTCTGGCCACATTCTATTTAGGCATCTTTCTATTGCTGGTTGGTTGAAGAGGTTTCTTATTAGCCAGTTGTTGCTTTGGGTGGTCCGGTTTTTGTGTCTCCCCGTGTATGCTCTGATGACTTCTGTTACATACGGTATGCTTAGATCACTGTGTAAGGTAGCGTTTGATACGTGCCAGGGAACATTAACTAGTTTTCTTAGCGTTTTGGATTGGAACGTTTGGAGAATTTTTGTGTTGGAAGGTTTGAGCATTCCCATAACTCTATCCCGTAGGTCCAGACTGGTTTGATTATTGTTTTGTATAGGATTATTTTGTTTTCAAGAGATAGCTGTGATTTTTTGTCGACTAGCCAATTCATATTTCTGGGAGTGGTCGAATCTAGGCCGGAACACAGACTCTCCTGACTGAGGTTCTTCCTCAGTTTTCCTCAGTCAACCCCATAATGCCAAATTCTAGCTTTCGGGGCTAAAGTGCGTAACCTGGGGTGTTCACAGCGTCGTGGAATAAGTTGAGAATGAAGTTGTCACAGTCTTCATGTGATTTGGAATCGTATCTGAAATCAGGAACGGAAGGAGGCCGGACGATAACAGAATTGTATTATCTCGTATGCGTTTCTGCCTTCTTTTATTTCTGGAAGTATTTGTCGGCCTGTGATAAAAGTGTCGTGTGCGAAATTCGCATGAAACTTTAAAGACAAAAATGTGAAATTTAGCTGTCTCTCTCAGACTCCAGTGCCCTATAGGCCTAGCTGAAAACATAAATACATATTTGTTTGCTGAGCATACACACCAGTGCATGCAGACTTTAAGGCGAGGGGTGGAAACAAAGTCTACGCTTTCCAGACAAGGCGCTAGATCCAGTTGAGCACTAAGCTTCACGCTCATACCGCTTTAACGTGGAAAATATCCTTCGATGCCCGTGGATAGCAAGTTGGGCGGAGACATCCCTACGCACAGCCGAAGTGTTTCGGTCCAGATTTCGATAAGATTGCGAACATACTTCCGAGAAAATAGGTTTCCGTGTAGTCTGCTGTCTTAACAAACTACACGGCGTCACATCAAATATCCCGGCATATCATCCCCGTATGCACATCAGATATCTCGTTTATCGATGTTTTTGGGGCAGGCCTACCGTAACGGTTATTGCCAATAAGACCGTACATTTTGTTTGGGTTGTCACTGACTTACGTCTTTCCCGCGGATCCGTCAGATAAAAAGTCCCCTATTCCCTGAAGACGGAAGCAGGACCAGTTATCGGAACGATGCCGTTGCAGTATGAAACCCAGATGACGAGTAGTGCCCAAACTACTATTGTACCTGCCCCGGGTGATTATGATGATGGAGAATTTGGTGAAATGAAGATTGGCGGGGGAAACCGAAGTACTCGGAGAAAACCCGCCTCAGCGCCACTTTGTCCACCACAAATCCCACCTGACTAGATTCGGGATCGAACCCGGGCCACCGCGGTGGAAGCCAGTGACTAATCGCTTAAGCTATAGCGCGGTCATTAAACAGTACACAATTACAAACGTAAATAGCTCTGAACCTAATACATACGATCAATATTATATATTTGAGGTACTGTCGATGCCAAGGATTCATACTGTGGGGTTCTGAGTTATGGTGCTGTGCAGTCTGGTAAAGTGACCATCCAGCCACCAGACTACACGGTGTCATAGCCGAGAAACCCACAATATGAATATTATGAAAGCTAATATAGCGAGTATTGCACACACACATACATACATGGCGGGCAGCATTTGGCGCTAGAGCCCGCGTGTGAAGGGGATCTGTGTCCCGCCCCACTGGGTCTAGAGGTCATGTGGGGGGACCTCTGCACTTACCGCGCCACACTGGAAGCACTCCAGCGCGCTTGTGTAGGCAGTACGCAAGGTCCTCACCGAGACTTACGGACAAATCAGTGTTGTCTTATCAGCTGTCTGAAGTAGCAAGTTTTTCATAACGTTATTTAAAAATTCAGTTCCTACCTCACAGGATGGGGGCACTATGCTACAAGCCGGAAGGTCATGGGTTCGATTCCCGTTAAGGTCATTGGATTTTTTTCAATTGACCTAATCCTTCCAGCCGCACTATGCCCCTGGGGTAGACTCAGCCTCTAACAGAAATGGGTAAAGGCGGTAAAGTGCGGTCGGCGTGTAAGGCTGACAACTTCACCGCCATCTTTGAGCCGATTTTCTAGAAAATGTGGGCCTCTGCGACCTGTTACATTGATAGCTTTAATTTTTACCTCATAGGAAACACTTGGTGTTACCATCATAAAGCCCGGCTGGTTAGTTAGTTAGTTACTGGAGAGGGTGGGTTTCCCCATGCACTTAGGCCAGTATTGGTCCACTGTGCTTCCCTCTATGATATTCTACCAGTCTCTATACCCTACCGATACTGGTGCTTACCATCAGTCCCGACCAAGCCAGCGAGTTCGGCCTCTACTGGCTTAACTGTATCTATAATGCTTCCCCCATCTATCAGAGGCGTTAGAGACTACTGTTGGGCAGGAAATGCCCTTGAATTTTGCTCAGTGACCTCCTTAGGAGATATGAGGTTCTTTTACGTGCCGTAAAGCTACGACACGGGAACCACGGCTTAAAGTCCCTCCCGGAGGACTTGTTCCCTGAATTTTTCCGCCGTTAAAAATTCCACGACCTCCGCCGGGTTTGAACCCGCGTACTACGAGTCATGAGGTGGGAACGTTTCCTCTAGACTACGGAGGCCGAAAGCCCAGGTGGTTAATACAGTTTAAAGAAATAATCGCGCTTATTGTGAGCATCACATGACACATAAATATACCCTCTGGACGGATGGGAAGAGAAAGTTGGCGAACCTGAATATTTGGTGAGAGTTTCAGTTACACTTGTAAACCCTAGAACACAATGACTCGTGGAAGTCTAAAAATGGTAATTCCATTTCACTGGAGTGCTGTGTGTCAGGATGAAATTCCCGTGTAACTTACCTAGCGGGGTACACCATGTTTCACAAATCAGGTGACTACATACATGCGAACGTGAACAGGCTTCCACCGCCGTGGTCTTGCTGCCCGCTCGGACATATCCCATGTTTCCTATATTTATCTAAATGTCTAACGACGCCGTCAGTAGCTCAGGCTATTTAGCGTCGAATTGTTGAATGATGGATAATTAATTGCACAGGACGTGCAGGAAGCGGTAGAGACCTGTTTAAAAGTATTTTCTCGGCAATAGCCTTTTGGGACAGAAGGGAATCACGTAAATGATTCAAGATATTGGGTCTCCACTGAGATTCAAACCTGGGCATTTCGGTGGCGAAGTGCTTCATACAAAAGTGGCCGATGTCAGCGAGGTCTGTTTGCATGCCACGTTCTAACTTTCCGCAGGGCGATAAGTTTCTGAAGAAGTCTATATGTCTGGCTTGGGTTTCATTCAAAGTATACGCTCTGCTGTGCAGATACGAATCAAAATAAAATTACCTTCCCTGGGACTCTGAGAGTAGCTCATCTGATTAACAGATTCAAGCCACTGGGTCCTATCGTGACTACATGAACTCGCGCCGTGTTCTTCCAGCCTGTTTCTTTAAAACATTTTCAGAGACCCAGACCGTCTGTGGGCCCTACTCAACCTCCTACCCGATGGGTACCTGGGCCTCTCTGTCCTGAGGTAGAGGGGCCGGGAGTGAAGCTGACCACTCGCCTCGATCTGCCGAAGTCATGAATGGTAGCGCCATCACCCTCCCACCCCACCGCCCCGGTACGTCTTCGAGGCACAGTAGCTGATCCATTAAAAACGGGGATAATTTTACATTTTCCTTTTGCCTTACAAATTAGTGGATTCGGCCGTCTCAAGATAGGGACCAGTAATGAATCTTGAGGTCCTGTGAAACGCTGCAAGTTGCTCAGTCCTTCTCAACGACTCTACTTCATGGAGTCGGTCTGTCGGTTATTTATTTAATATTTTCATCCGAATCAGGTAGTTGGAAAAGGGAACATATCCGACTTCCAGTAGATGGATGTTTGTGTATCTAGGTGACAGATTCAGTCGATCTATGGGCAATTAACAACTCCTTTGTAGCCTTCTTTATAATGACTGTAGGCCAAGCGTCACGGAAAGGGAGCAAAGACTAAGAACCCTTATATTTCACGTTTTTCTGCCGGTAATACCGCATTAATCTGCAGACGAATACTGAATCCTTGTAAACTAAATTCCTTCTAGTCCTGTGTTCCACTACCAGAACAACTAGCAGTTGGCTGCCCTGCATTCTGATGTCAATAATGACAGCATGAAGGGAGTACATGTATGTTTTCTGTCTCGGATGTTTAAGAAGTAAAGCTTAACAGTGAGATTTCTACGCCGGCGACTAAAAATATTGTCTTGCGGAATGTGACGCCGTGTACTCTGGTATGTCCTTATCGACATTTCGAAAGAATCTGTTGTGACTATTTTCTTGGGATGAGATTACACCGAAACGTTGGCAGCGATGTACCAGACTACACTTTGCCGTCCCAGAAGACTGAAAGTTTCCAGTAACTCAATCGTCTGACAGTTGGCAATCCTGTATTTAGCTTTCAATTAATTCGGTAATGAGAGCTTAGAACGCAATAAAGGAAACGTGTAAATAATAATTCTCGAATTTAGTACTGGTTAAATTTAGTGACTAAAGGTTGGCAGCCATATGATAACAGCTGCTGCTATTCAAGTGCAACGCGGCAGTGTTACGAAATATAACAACAAAGGCCGCATTTAAAACTAAATAACACACGTAAAATTCGCTGAAGTAGCAAGGAATTGTGTTGTCGGTGTTCTGAACTCTAAAGACTTTGTCACAGAGGAAATTTTGAAACTTACTGCACAGTTCAAATACAAACTAATGAAATAATTTCCTAAAACAAAGAGATCTTTAAGGGAGTTATATTTTTTGCAGGTTGGCACCTTGTGTTTCGTATCTGACGAGCGCAAGAAAGGCACTACACCAATATGAACTCCTTAGACAAGCATCCTACGTGTACATTCACACGAAATTATTGAGTTTATAAAAGATTAATACTCACAGCAGGAAGTTTAACGGATTTCAAGAAGAGCTGTTCTGATTGCCGACGCAGTTGCTACCTCGGCCACAAGACTGGACTGACACAGCATCGATCCAGCTGCACACGCAGGCGAGGCGCGCCGGCGCGTTGAGACCAGTTTATTGACCCTGAAATCTTATCTACGCAGTACATCGAAAACCAGTTCCTACCTCACGAAAACATACTGCGTTTTCATTACTTACTTACTTATTCATGGAACTTAGCCCTTCTGGAGGAGCCGCCAATTCTGCAGCTATTCAAGAATTTCCCAGCATTATATGGAACCCGAAGGTTCATTACCGTCTTCACAAGAGCCCTCCACTGGTTCATATTCTGAGCCAGATCAATCCAATCCACACCATCCCATCCTATCTAAGATCCATTTTAATATCGTTCACCCACCTACGCCTTGGTCTTCCCAGTGGTCTCTTTCCTTCTGGCTTTCCCACCAATATCCTATACGCATTCCTCGTCTCCCCCCATTCGTGCTACATATCCTGCCCACGTCATCCTCCTTGACTAGATCATTCTAATTATACTTGGAGAAGAGTACAAGTTATGAAGCTCCTCATTATGCAGTTTTCTCCAACCTCCTCTCACTTCATCTCTCTTCGGTCCAAATATTCTCAACACCCTGTTCCCAAACACCCTTAGTCTACAAGTATGTTCCTCCCTTAATGTCAGAGACCAAGCTTCACACCTATACAGAACCACAGGCAAAATTATAGTTTTGTATATTCTAATTTTTATGTTTTTGGACAGCAGACGAGAAAACAAAAGGTTCTGGACTGAATGGTAGCAAGCATTACCGGAGTTCAATCTCCTCTTAATTTCCTCTTGAATCAGGTTGCGATCTGTTATCGTTGTTCCCAAATATCTGAACAGTGCCACATACTGGGTTTTCATTACAGAACAAATATACGCATTAATGCTATCTCTGTGTATTCTGAGTTATATTTTTTTTTCGGAGGAACTTATTTATTAACAATCAGAATTACGTACATTCTATAGGTTTGTAATGTGTGTTTGTTTACGTTCGCGTGTGTGAGGATGGTAGTTCACACGCGAACTCAGGATGTTAGGAGTTTGTCGCTAAGTCGGGAGACTTAGAAGGTAACGTGAATAGCTGCCACCAGGTGATTAGACCTGAATCACCACAGGTGCGATGTTATTGCACTACTCCAACAGGTGAGATGCGCTGGCTAGCTGTGATGTTGAACTCTGCCTGCCGAAGTCGTATAGCGTGTTGAGAACCGAAGCGTCGAGAGTGTGGATAAGCGAGATCTCCTTGAATATTCGGATGTGTGAAATAAGGTAGACGACACGAACTTGTGAGGTGAAACCAAACACTTTACTTGTTCAAGACATGAAATAAGTATAAACAGGAATCAAACCCCTGACTCTTACGAGAGCTGTGTGCTCTCAAACGCACAGTACGTGCTGCACTAGATTAATGGTTTTTTACATCCTACCTCTTGACGTCTTACATCTCCTCCAATGGTTACAATGCCAGCCCTTATATAGTATTGTCTTCGGGCGTGGCAAAATCATGTGACATTATAGCGTCCGGGCCTGGATGGCCCCTGGATATTGCAGCCTTTTCTCAGAACTATAACGTCACTCTTAGTGCCGTGTGCAACTAAGATGACTTCATTTTCAAGTTGCGAAATATCTGTTTATATTAGGCTTAATTTCAGTTCTACACTATGTGTCTAGGGTATCTCACAGTATTATATGCCAAATTAATGCGAGAAAACATCATTAAATCCTATAAAATACAGTATGTGGTGACGTCACATGACATACCAGCGTTACCACATTACACCTCCCCTCCTCTAAAAAGTTTTTGCCTCATAGGTGAAAACTTTAGCGAAACATTATTCTATTCTTTGTTCTCCTCAAAACTTTATCTATCTCATTTTCTGATTTTGAAATTTCACCTGTCCTCCCTTTCAATTTCTTAAGTTCAACAATAACACTATCTACTTCAGGTAAGGACTTTACTGAACCTACTGGAGAGGTATTTGTTTTCTTGTATTCAACCCTAGAACCATTATAGTTATGAATATTAATACAACATCTCTCTTTTGTCTGTTGCCAACAATCTCTAGGGCTCCATTTGTCCCAAAACCAAAAGAAACAACTTCTGCAACACTTACAACAACAACAGCTGCAACAAACACACAAAATAATTACACAAATTATGGCTATTGCTGTTCCCCAAGACGTCGTAATCATATAAAATTTCTCATTTTGTTTAGTTTCTTGTTCTCTAATTAACTGTTGTACTTCTTCAGTTTTCTTACTTATAATTCTTAAATCGTCTACTGAAGACATAATATTTACTAATGGGATGTGCAAAGGCAATTCTTCAAAGTTTACATCTTTCATGCCCTCAAAACAACAATCAAAATCAATAGGAGCTGAAGGCACATAATCATTTGTCAAATTAATATAAAAGGTTGAAATAGCATACAAAGTCACATAAGAGGAATATCCTTTATATTCTGGCTTTAAAGTTAATTTACCTTCCCCTTTTAGTTTCAAAGTGCTTGTCCCTTGTGGACACAACACAGTAAATGTTTCCATTTCAGGTGCAACAAACAACCACTGATTACCTTTATATAATGGTATCCAAAAAGTTTTCTTCAATTTGAAAAAGATGTTCTCACAAGTGTCAAGAGTCTTGACTGTAGACGGATGTAACAAAGTTGCTTCACAATCTAATCCAGGAGTATACGTGTAAATAGGTATTTCTCCTTTACATACAAACATAATTTCATTAATCTGAAAACATCCTGTGAATTCATTTATACTCATTTTTCCATAATGTTGTCTTAATAAATCAGTAAAATCTATTCTTTATTACAATTGATGAAGTTATATGTTGATTTCTCCTTTGTGATACTTCGTTCAGGTATCATACTGTCGTTAACAAGTTTTACACACATACAATAAACATTTCTTATACAAATGGGAAGTAGGGGTTATTATCCTGTGTAGTTCGGAAAAAAAGGAAAAGTAGGATAATCCAGTCCCCTCGGCAATTTCTGTGTTTCCAATAACTTCTTAATTTTCTCAGCAGTAACTAATTTTGGTTGGAGAGAACTTCGCTCGGCATGTACAAAAGCATCTATCAATATTTCAAAAGAATGTTGACTTTCATCAATTCCCCTCTGTATTATCTTTGACTGTTCATTAATTAAATTCACATTATGAACTTCTTCCTCTATTTCACTAAATTTATGCGTACTATAATTAAGCAACTTGGTTAAACCTTCCTTCAAAATTTTCTCATTTTGTTCAATTTTCTGTAACGTCGTATTAACTGAAGTAATGGTGGCTTTTATAACTGTCATCTGTTCATTGGATAAATGCAAAAACTCTTTCTGTTCCCTTTCTAACTCTGTAATATGCTTGTTGTAATTCTTTGCATCTGACTGAGTTAAAGTTCCAAATAAAATCTTGGATATCTCACCCACAAAATTTAAAACACCTCTTTTGAGTCTATGATTCGGAATCTCATCACTTTTTGTCCAATACTCAGCTATCAAATCCTTCAAACTGTCAATGTATTTAGTCTTTGATTTCATATATTGCCCAAACGCGGCGCAATCTGTATAATGATACTAGTTTTTTCTTTGATTTTTTGGCAAAAATCTGTAACTCTTTTCTGATGAAGTTTAGTTTGTTTCCATAATTCACGCGTTGGTTCTAAATCGATATGTGATGACCTTCCATCTCATAGGATAAAATCGAATAGTTCCTATCTCATCAAAGTATATGCCTGTCCTTGAATCTATGTCATCAACCTTCTGACCTTGACCTTGAAGCAGTGTCCACCATACGCAGACCGTGATTACAAAAATCCCTTTATACAGCTGCATTTTCTGAAATTGAAGAGAAGTATGGTTTTAACCTATTAATGTGTACCTCTTGATGCTTTCTTTTGCCTACTTCTTGTATGACACCATTAGAACCTTTTATATCTTTAATCTCATATGGACCTCTCCACAATGGGTCCAACTTTTGCCTATTCTCTACCCTCAAGAGAACTAAATCATTTACTTTGAAATCATACTCATTTGATTTCACTTTTTGTCTCTGTGCTTCTTTAAATTCAATTAATCTCTCTCTGCCAATTTGCTGACAGTTCTGCATTTTATGCTTTATCTCTAATACAACATCATCAAAATTATAAAGTGGTTGGGGTTGTCGTTGTAATCTTCCTGGTATATTTGCATTTCTCCCAAAGAGTACCTCATACGGCGTATATCTCGTAACTGAATGTGGTGTCCTATTGTAAGTAAAACATGCAAAGGGTAACCATTCGTCCCAATTATTTAATCTCTTATCGCAAAAACATCTCAAATAATTTGCAAGTGTCTTGTGTGTTCTTTCCAAAGCTCCATTGCTTTCTGGATGGTATGCGGTTGTACGAATTTTCTCAATCATAAATAATTTGCAAACGCGTTTAAAAACATCACTCATAAAATTTGATCCTTGATCTGTCACAACTTCTGTAGGAATTCCATAAAGCAATATAATATTTTTCACAAAAGCATTTGCAACTTCCTCAGCTGTCTGAGTTTGCAATGGTATGGCAATAAAGTATTTACTTAAGTTGTCCTGACATGTCAAAATATATTTCATTCCGTTTTCGGATAATGGCAATGGTCCAACAATATCTAAATAAATTTTATCCCATGGAGCATTCTTTGTATCTGTAACTGTCAAAGGTAACTTTACATTTGGACGGGTTTCTTTATTTAATTGACAAGTTTTACAATTCCTTATGTATTGAATTACATCTTGTTCTAAACTTGGCCAAGAAATGTATAATTTAATTCGTTCAATTGTTTTCCGAATACCTTGATGACCTCCAATTGGACATTTATGCATTTCAGCAATAATTTTCTGTTTTCTGTCTTCTGTTATTTCTTCTAAATTAACATTTAAACACTGAACAGGGTAACGACTCAAACTATCGGCATTACAATTTCTTTGTCCAGCCCTGTATTCAATTTCATATTCATATTCCTCTAACAATAATTTCCATCTCATTAACCTTGA